GGGCGAGGGGCACACGGCAGGGAGGCCTGGCTCTTCCGTCTGACAGCAGACAGACCGGAATCCCCCTGGGGGTCTGGGTGGGACAGGAATGGGGTGCCTTTGTCTCCTGAGGTTCCCAGGGAAGGGCACAGAGTCCGGCTGTTTGGCCAGGGCGCTCAGTCCAGCCCGCTCTCCCTGACAGGTTTTCCTGGCAGACCTTGCAGCTCCGTTCTGAGATCTTTCCCAGCATAACATACATGTCAGGAAAACACGCCCGACTCGAAAGCCCAGAACCCCTTCCACGGAGGGGCTTGTAATCTGAGCGGCCAGGTTACTTAAACACCAGACACATAGTCAGTCTTATATTTTCTAAGCGGTAAGCTCAAGCTTTTCCAGTTTCCGTGAGTTTTGGCCCCTGGGCCTGTACATCTGACATTTCATTGTATTCCCTCTCTTGGACGGGCATCCACGTAACAGCTGTTGGCCGCGAACTGGAGCTCTGCTCAACACGGAGACACGGGCCGCGGCAGAGCCAAGGAGAATGAAAACCGTCCTCTTTCTTTGAACAGCTCGCGTTGGGTCTGGGAAATAGAGTTACGCGGAGGCAGACTAGCTGAAGGATAACGCAGACGCCCGTGACAAGCGGCTCCCGTAACGGGGACCGGCAGGGAGGCAGCCATTGTTACGCCACACAGACCAGGAGGAGGGGCCTTTGCCGTGGTGTTTTCAGATCGTGAAACGTTTTTGGAATTATGACAAAGGGGTGTTCCCTCCACCCACCAAAGGGAGGGGGCACCAAAGAGCCCCTAAAAGCCCACTGCGGGCTCTCGGGAGAATTCCGAGCCACACGCCCCAAGTCCCCTGGAAAAACCTGCAGACCTGCTCCCGCCGCAGTGGAACGGCCGGTTTGCCCAGGGCTGCAACGCGGCCGTGGCCTCCGCCCTCCACCCCAGAGTCTAAAGAGGTTATTTTAATTTATAACTGCTTTGTGGCATTAGCTGAGGCATCCATCACGAGAGGCGCTGTTCCTTAATGCAGAACTCTGGTCCCGCTTCTGAATCGCATTTGAGGGATTATCCTGAAATACTCTAACTTAGTATCACTTGGGCTGATGGGCGCGCCCTTCTAAGTTAGATTCCCGGGCAGAAAGAATACGCGGCGCCCTCGTGATGGAATTAGGGGCGTGGGGCCATCGTGATGGAATTAGGGGCGTGGGGCGGGGGCAGAGGGCGCAGCGTGCCCTGGGACCGACGCTCACAACGAGGCCAGGCCCCGGTGCGACCCTCAGTCCGCCTGTTTCTCACTGTTGCTCTGGCTCCCAAGTGAGTCCTGGGAAATCGCTCTTACGGGCTGCAGCGCAGGAGGGGAGAAAGGTCACATTTGCAAGATGCTTTGAACCCCACAGAATAAGACACGCTGTCGTCCCTGAGGACTGTCCGGGCCCCCAAAAGCCCACCCCCCCCGCCCCACGTGGCTTGAGCACATGTCTGTTGAGTGGAATCTCACTGCTAATGACAAACGTCCTCTTCTTTTCCGTTGTTAGCCAAACTATAACGTGGCTCCGTTCAAGAAACGTTTAGAAGTGGGTAAAATGCCCATCGTCTGGCCGGGCCAAAATAATGACCTCTCTCCACGGGCTAACATACGGCGGACAGCTCATTTTTAGGGCTAATATGGCCGACTGGATGATCTATTCCCCCTGTGTTTGTACAGCCCACCTAGTTCTTTAAACCCTCACCGGAGGATATGTTTTCATCGATTTTAGAGAGAGAGGAAGAGGCGGGGAGAGAAACATTGATGTGAGAGAGGAGCATTGGTTGCCTCCCGTATGTGCCCCGCCCAGGGCTCGAACCCACAGCCTTTTTCCACGCACCGGATGATGCTCCAAACCACTGGGCCACCTGGCCAGGGCCTCCTACCTGCTCTCTTTGACAGCTGTGTAACAGCTCACCCTGTGGGTGTATAATACCGTCCTGACCTGCCCCGGGAAAGCACCGAGGCAGGGCCCTCACAGGCGGCGGCCGGGAGTGTCTTCGCTCCTCTCGTTGCCTTCCTGCCTCTTCCTGCATGTTTCCATGCGCGAAAAATGAGCTTCCTTTCATGCCTCTGCCCTGGCTCCATACAGCGTGACAAAAGACTTCGAAGTCCCGCGGATATAGTATGTCGCTGGTGATTAAAATATTAAAAAAGTAATTTAAAAAATCCCCACGGAGTCATAACGTGCGACTCACACCAACTCCCTCGCTCCCTCTCGGACCCCACAGCTAGGAGGCTGTGTGTGGACGTCCCTGCTCTTCAGGGCGTCTGTGGGTGGAGGACAAAGCCCCCTAACCTGTCCTTACTGCCCCCGTTCCGTGGCTACAAGGGGCAGGTGGCTTGGCCACGCCGGCCCGCCCACCCAGGCGGATTACCCCAAACTGCGCTTACTTGTCGCGTGCAGGGGGACGTGGAGGCTGCGACCCCCGCACAGCCCCGTGCTAGTACCACGCCGCGTGCACGCCGCAGGGGGTCCTGGCCGAGCTGGGAACCCGCACGCCGCCCCGCTCCTTCCATCGCCGGAGGCCACGGAGAGCGCGCCCCGTCCCTGGGAATTAATTTCGTGGCTACTGTCATGGACTTCAGTGCCCGTGATGAATGTTTTTACAATGAATACCAAATTAACCCAAACTGATTAGAGGCTTTTATAAGTTATTAATGGATTGTCACCTCAGCCCGGCCTCGCCGTGGATGCGACATTTCATGAAATAATCTCTTCTTGCTGGAAAAATCAATCTCTCTCCCCTCGCTGGAGCTGTCAGGGCTGACGAGATGCTCCCTGCCCCCTTGGTTACGTGTGCCCGGCTGCGCGGCGGCGCCCTTGGGGACGGCCGGGACCCAGGGAAGCGCGCCTGTCCCATTTCAGCTCGGCTCCCTGGTGGCTTTCCGGGGAGGGGAGAGGAGCTCTGACCAGCTGGGTCCTGTGACCTTACAGGAGTCCCCCCCACCCCCTGTTTTAACGAGATACAATGGCCACATAACAATGTGTGAGTTCAAGGCGTTACAGAACGATTCCCACCGTAGCACCAGCTAACACGTCCATCCGATACATACATGCCAGTCCATAGTCAGCCGGAGACAGGCAAATAGTGCACGATCTCATTTGCAGGTGGAATCTAAAAAGCTAAACGGGTGGAAGGTGGGAGGAGAACAGTGGCCACCGGGGGGCCGGGCGGGGGGGCGGCGGGGGAAGGGGAACGGGGAGATACTGACTCCGGGCCCAGCTTCCAGTTAGAAATGAGTGAGTGCCGGGCTCTCACGCCCGGGCGGTGTGTGAGAGACACGTTCTCTCGGGCGAGCCGGGGAGTACTGCCGTCACCCAAAGAGACAGGCGCTTGTACACCTATGCGACGCTGAAGACTTAGAAGAATGGGATTTGGTGGCGTGTCTTCCGAACAGCGTCCCTGCGAGGCGGAGCAGAGTCCAGCCCCTGCCGCGGGCCCTGCACGTCCTGCCTTTTCCGGGCGCGGCTGGTCCCCGCTGACCCAGGCCCGATTCTCACTGGATACGATTCTCATTTTCCTTCTCATCCTCTACATTTTGGTTAAGCCAAGTAAGAACCCTACCAGCAAGGGTACGAGAGCTGTGTGTTGAAAACCTCGACGTTCCAAAAGTTAAAAAAACTCACAAATCCCATGAGCACATCAGCACTGAGCCCCGATATTAGCAAGGACGGGCGGAGCGAGCCTTCGGCTCCTTGAAGGAGAGCAGAAAGGACGCGGGCCCTCGCTCGCCGCCCCTCAGCAACGCCCTGAGCTTCGGCCGGGCTCCCGCTCTTTGCCTCCGGCCGCTCCTGTTACGTTCCCCTGCTTGGGGACCGCGAGACTGTGTTAGCCGGCTATCAACCTGTTCACACCTGCATTTTGGACCCCGACAAATACTTCCTGTGTTGCCAGGCCCCGTGCTGAGTGCTCAGAACACAAAGATGACAAAGCTGGAACCCTGGACGAGGGGCCGCCCGCCCGGGGACAGACACGTTATCGCGCAGCGAGAACCCGCGCGCGATTCACGGCAGCCTGCCCGTGAGAGGCGGGACCCGTGAGGCTGAGGGACGCTTCCGCAGAGCCGCGGACGCCGGGGGATGCTGTGGCCAGTCGCCCTTTAAGAGGGCACCTACGACAACCTCTGTAATGATCCGCCCCGCCCCTGTCCACTCGGGATCACGGCACGCGTGTGAAGTCAAGAGTCCCGGAGGCGGGGAGGGGCCGGCCTGGGAAGTCGGGGCCGGACAGTGACGGAGCGGAGCCCGCCTGCCTCCCACTTCCAGACAGAATTCTAGAGCGTGCCAGACGCACACACTCACACGCACACACACAAAGGCTCCCTGTGCAGCGGGGGGAGGAGGCGCGGGGAGGGGGGGTCAGTTTCTCTTTAAATGGCACGCGCCGTCCAGGAGGCAGCCTCGGCTGGAGGACCGGTCCCTGCGTCCGGCCTCCCCCACGTGCTGACGGCGAGGCGTGAGCCTGTGAGCTTCGTGGTGATCGTCGGTGACAAGAAAGTGGCAGCTGGTCGGGTGGGGGGCCACCATGCTATGTTAGCCGTCGCTGAATTGCCCCTAACGCTGAAGACTCAGGAATCGGATTTCGAAAAGCACGCCTGGCTGGTCAAACTCAGAGTGTCTCGGAGGTCGACACGACTCCGCCCCCCTGTCACCGGGAGGAGACAAAATCTGCTTTCCCCCAGAGCTCTAGCTCTCACCCCAGGAAAAAAGTGCCATTTCATAGGAGATGGCAGAAAGCCTGGCCTTCAGGACTCAGGAGCAGCCGGGGACCTGCTCCAGGAGAGCGGGCGAGGGTGCCGAGGCCAGGGCGGGTCCCGCTTTAACTCTCCATCAACAAAGACACAGACGTCCGCATTTGCGGACGCCCCGGCGCGCTTATCCACCATCACCCGCACACGCAGGCTGCGTGGCGAGAGGCGGATTCAGGCTGTGCAACGTCAGCTCCGTCCAATGCAAAACACGATCCTGAACGCGCTGTGCTTACCAGCTGCTGCCCCTTGGGGCCCCAGCCGGCGTACTGGAGCCTCGCGTTGCTGACCTCCGGGGGGTCCAGGCTTTGAGGATCCCTGAAAAACAAAACGAAGAAGAAGCAGTGGGAAACGAGAATTTGCGGAGCTGGAACTTTATCCCCCCGCTGAGCGCCATTCCCTTCCCCGTCCAGGGCACCCAGCTCGGGGGCTGTGTTACCCAACGGCCTGGCTCACTCCGGCTCCGCCAGTTTGCTGCAGCTGCGTTTCAGCCACGGGCAGGCGCCGCGGGTCCCTCGCCACGTGGCCCACGCAGCCGCTGCTCACCGAGGGACCGCGTGGGGCGGGGGGGTCTACAGATCCACTTTTAAAATATTCAGGACAGTCCAAATTAAAAATAGAAATGCACAGCTCTGCAGCAATAACTCCTCGTAACTGATATCTCCATCTTTGGCTTTCCTGAAGGGTAGGCTTGTTTTTGTTTTTGTTTTCCTAGGCATGATACCAGGTCATGGGCACTTTCCAAAATGAGTGGCTTCAGGGACACGTTCCATCTTTTGGTTTATGTTGGTAGATATAACTCTCCAGAGAGGAGATATAATTACATGTATATGTATTTTATACACACACACACACACATATGCATATATAGTATGTATACATATCAAGAGAGAGACAATTAAGAGAAATATTTTTCCCTTTAACAATGCTTACATTTTCTATTCTCCATTTACTACATGCAAAATACCACGCCAACAAAACCCTTCCTATGGCCTTTTAAGGTCATAACGGATAGAAGTCATAATAATGAAAAAAAAAAAAAAAAAAAGAAGCAACTAGCACTTTTTTGAGCGTCCGCTATTTCAGGACGCTTTGTAGCCACCGCTGTCCACAATGTATAGAGAAGAGCATGTTCCTGTTGCTTTCGAAGTCACGTTCCCCACGCGGGGTTCTGCCCGTGTCCTGCTGAGCAGGCCAGCCTTGGCCGGGGGAGCCCCCTGCCCCAGGGCCCCAAGGTTTCTAGAAGAGGGGACACAGCGACAAAGCACTCATTCACCTGCGGAGAGACTGTGGCTGACAGCCTTTGGGAAAGGAAGCCCTGAACAGACGAGAAGGGAGGGCAGGGGCAGTGGGTCAGGACGTGCTGATGGAGGGCTCGGGTCAGGAGAAAATCCCAAAGGCCACGGTCCCCGGTCCCCGGCCCTGCCTGGACGAGAGGGAACGCGCTCCGAGGCGAAAGCCCTGGGGGAGGGCGTCAGTCACCACGCCCAGCAGCCATAGATGGCGGCGGCCTGGGTCTGCCGCAAGCAGGGGAACCGGGAGACGGGGGGAAAGCACCGAGGACGGGGTGACAATGACCGGGGCCAGCTGCGGGCCCCGAAGGGGGGAGAGTAATGGGGAGTCTTCGCGTTTCAGGTTCCCAAGGGACTTGAGCGAACCCCACCGCGTCTGTGGTTATACTGTTTCAAAGTATTTTCATACGCAAGGGTGATGCCCTCCTTGATCTGGTGTCGGGGAAGGTTTTCTAAGGATGACCCCGAATCCAGAAGGGATGAAATAACAGAGTGATACATTTGACTACATACGATTAAAAAAAATTGCATGATAAAACATCACAAACAAAATATGATGAGAAACTGGGAGATAGTATTCATAGCACGTCCTACGGACAAATGGCTACTATCTCTATCAAATAAAGAACTCTACAATTAATGTTGCAAAAGACCAAAAAAGGATAGGCACCTGAGAAAAACGCATGGGCAGACAAGTCTCTAAAAGGATATTAAAATAGCCCTTGAACACGTGAAAAAGTACTAGACACATGCCAAACCAGAGAAATGCACATTGAAACTATACTGGCTAGTGTCTTACCTATGAAACTTGCTAAAAACAAACAAACGAAAGCAAAGAAAGTATGACCAAGGCCGTAGCAGCGTAGCTCCGTGGGTTAGACCGTCGTCCCGATACGCCAAGGTTGTGGGTTCCATTCCCGGTCAGCGCACATGCAAGGATCAACCAACGAAGGCACGGACAGATGGAACGACAGGTCGATAGGTCTCTGCCTCTCTCTCTCTTAAGTCAATCGATAAAAAACAGGATGGCTCATTGTGGGGGCAGGGCTGGGGGAGACTGGCATTCTCAATGCTTTGCTCGTGGGGATGCTAATCGGTACGATCTTTTCAGAGGGAAATTCGGCGATACCTGATACAACACACACTTAACTTCTGACCCAGGTCACTCCCTGGAAGGTTCACCTCTCAAGGTACAAAAACACATACACAGAACGTTGTATTCATCACAGCTTTGTGATTCCAAAGTATCAGGAACAATGGGGGTTGAGGAAGTGATGGTATGTCCACCAAAATGGAATATTATACAGCTGTCAAAAAGAACGGAGGCCTCTGCACACCGATATGCAGTGGTTCCCCCGGCAGAGCTATGCTAAGCCCTCCTATCTGTCACACAGGAAAGGGGGATGGAAACTACACATGTATCTCCTCATTTGTGAGTGGAAGCATTACAGGCAGCATCACCCAGAAACCACAGGCTGGTTATGCACAGGGGAGAGTGGAGAGAAGGAGGGTGGGGACTGAGGGAGGGGACCGTGGAAGAGGAAGGAGTTGCATTTCTCTGGGTGGGTTTTTTTGGTGTGACACCAGGTCTTCGGCTGTAATAGGGTTTTGCATACTCTTCATACAACCTCCCCCCCCAAATAAGAAAAACACTTGCAGACAACCAGGATGCGGGGGGGGGACTGAAAATGGAAGCAAAACTCTAACAACAGGACAGAACCCTAGTACACACACAGCACCATACTACACAGGAGGGGCGGGGAAGAGCAGAAGCAACGTAAGGAACTTCTAGAAACAGCCTCTTGACAGGATCCCGCCAAGCTGCAGAGGGAGGAAGAGCTGGAGTCTGGCGAGTCCATGAGTTTCTCCCCGGGGGCAGGTGAGGCACCCTGAAACAGCTTCAGGTGTGCGCTGGAGTGAACTGACATGCAGGTATATATGTATATTGGAGACGGCTGGGGCCAGGTGTCTCACCGTCGGGGAACACAGTTATTACAGAAAGGACAGCCAGAGTCCACCTGCAGGAGTTCTATCTGCTGTTGCGCGCCAAACTCCCATCGGAGAAGAAATCCTGGGGGATGCCTCCTCCAGGAAGACCACCAGGACTGCTCTCGGCCCTGAGCCCAAGACCTGGTTCACTGTCATCGAACAGAATGAAATTCTCAGGGGGGTGTGTGTGCACACGCGCGCGTGTAAGAAAGATAGAGAGAGAGAGAGAGAGAGACAGAGAGACAGACAATGGGAGAGTGCATGAAAGTATTTATTTCTTTATTCTGGTGTAGGTTTGTGCTCTCTCCCCTTTTTCAGTCTTTCTCTTTATTTATTGATTTATTTTAAAGAATCCATGCCAGGCTCTGTATGAATCATCTCGGGGTAGAGATGAATTGGTAAAAAAATGATTAAGGACAAACACAATTATCTGGACTTAACTCTATCTCGAAATAATCATGCAATCTGTTCGAATTTTGCTTATTTGAGCAATAAACAAACAGGGCATAAATCATGTTGAATTTTGAAGAGTAAATTAGGGTAGGAAAGTTTACTCATTTATCTTCCTAAGCTGGGTTAAGGGATTGAAAACTTTTGCAACAACAACAACAACAACAAAAAAACAGCCTTCGTAAAAGCTAACAGTTGCTGTTCTGGCTCCTACACTTTCATGGCTAAAGACATCAAAAAATAGCATTTTCCATGTCAAATAATATGTGTTTTCTGAATCTTTCTATATGCAGAGTATCTGACACATTGTAGACGCTCATGCGTATTAAGTGAAAAATGATTGGACAGAGGATGGATGGACGATGGATGAGGATGAAGGACGGATGTATACGCTCCCGTCTAATTGCCAATGGATTGCAGGGGAGGGTGAATAAGCCTTAAACTCATACAGCATCAAAGACTTTGCACGATCGTCTTTAACGTACATCTAAAGTTTCACAGTCAACTTCTTGGGGGCAGGGTCCTTGCGGGCATAAATCCTTTGCGTGGCCTGCATTCGAGTGAATTCAAGTCGCCTCCGTGTCTGGGGGCGTCAGACGCTCCTTTCCTTGTGAGGCATGTGGCTATGGAAGTCCTGCCGCAGAGGCTGATGGGGGGCTCATTCTGAAATACTGGCGACTCCCCTCATCCGAGTTACAGGGACAGGGGAACACACATAGTCACAAATAGGAGCCCTAAGTAAAGTAACACAGCTTTTGTAAGAAAGGGGGACGTGCGTCTGAGGTCACTGTGAGCCCCGTGTCTAGGCTGGGCCAGCGCTCAATACTTCCGAGAAGGGGGCGCGGAGAGCGAGCAGAAGGACAAAGCGTATTTTGGGGGCGACGAAAGGCTCTGCCGCCGAAGGAGGCGACGGCCGCTCCGCGCCGGGAATGCACGACGAGCCGCTCCGCTGCACACGCTACGTGGGTGAATTCCACGGTGGGGAAACGGTATCGCAGTCAAGTTGGGACAGAGAGGAGGAGGGAGGAGGGAGGAGGGAGGAGGGCAGGGAAGGTCCCCTGCGCTGGGGTGGCCCCGAGCCTGCTCACTCTCTGCACAGCTCCGTATGACCCAGGACGGTCCATCTTTTACATTGTTTTAAACACATCCCGGTGTCCCCTCTGCTTGGTCGTCATCCTCCAGGCCCTGCTCAGAGCAGACACCTGGTTGTGGGAGGAACACCTGTCCCGGGCGCTCAGGTGACACCCCCCAGGAGCCGTTCTGAGGATGAGGGAGTGGCCTTTGGCCCCGGCCGTGGGCTGGAACCCTGGCAACCCGCCCTTACAAGCTGGGCGGTCGGGGGCGGGGGTCGCCTGACCCCGTTGAGCTTCCGTCCCCTCCTCCGTCTGATGGGGTACGTCCCCTCGGGCTCCTGGGAGACTTTAACGCGGAGGTGACGGTGCGGCCTCGCTGGCTCCTGCAGCCGGGAATCGGTCCAAGGAGCGACCGCTCTGACGTCACGGGGAGAAGAGAGAGGCGGGCCACTCACGTGCTCGCGATTTTTCCAAAATTAGCTGGTCTCTGTCACCTATGGCACAGGCGACATTG